CAGCAGAATTGAGATGAAAGTATGGAGATTCTTCCATATAGCTCTTTGGTTTCATTCAGTTTTTCTACCTGATGTAATTGAAGGAAATATTAAATGAGGCCAAAGTCTTTAAAGTGACATTATGTGGGGTTGATTCAGGGAACTGAGTGGCTGAGGTTGAATTTCTTCTCTGCATCCTCATTTCACACCCTGGAATATTGCTCTGTTTGGTCTCCCTGTCTGAAGCCTTCCTCCTGCTCCAGAAGCTCTGGCACATGTTTTATGTGCAAATACCCTCACAATTCAGAAAGCTGAAGCCCAAAACTTGCAGAGACCTTAAGAGAGAGTAAGGAGTCTTCCATGTTGTAAGGCAAAGCATTTCAGAGGCTATGGGAAAGTCAAAACATCCCTGCTCTGGAGGCATTAAAAGGAATAAAGAACAGGGACAAGATCAGACTGTGGGAGAAGAAACTTTTTCAAGGGACATTTACAGAGGGAGAGAATGAATCAGTCAGCAAAGGACCACTGGCTCATCACACGTGCTGGGCACTGGAGGAGCGCCTTGGGACTGGGCACAGTCTTTGCCAAGGAATCCTAAGCCCTTCACCTTCACCTCTGAGTATACTGATCTCATGACCCTATGGGTGGATTATTTATTTTCCTTTTACAAAGTATCTATAAAATAATTTTAACATGCAGACAGCTCTAGAAATACTCTCTGGACACAAACTGTAATGGAGGGTTACCTGAGCGTGCTCTTCCAGCATCCAGGAGTGCCAGCCAGATGCAGGTGTGCAGACAGCTATGGACCATGTGGGAACAGAGAGCCACTGGGCCCTACAGGCAGCCTGGAAGCTCTCATTATGCTCTGGACACTCCCCAGAAGTGTGACATTAGGAGCATGGAGGGGCTGGAGGGCTGCAATCAGAAGGACCTGGGCTACTAACCTGAATAACAGTCTTGGAGTATGAAAGGGCAGGGGCTGGGCGAGGCCTGTCCTGGGTGTGAGGACATAGGCATAATGGTTCAGGGTCCCACAGCACAAAGATCTTGAGTCCGGAGGCTGAGGCTTTCTGCATGTACTTCTAGAGAGATGTGGGTCTGTCAGACTTTGAAATGTGTTTCCAAACAAAACAGCAGATGGTCTTATTCCTCTCTCCCATATCAAAGACCCTCAGAGGTCACCCAGCTTAAATGACAAACAAGCCTCAAGAAGAAGTTGAAATTCCAGTCAAACCTTTGGGCCATTTGTTAAGTGTGTGTGTTCATGAGTGCGTGTGTGTGTGTGTGTGTGTGTGTGTGTGTGTGTGTGTGGCAGGGGGTGAGACTGTGTATGGTGGTGGGTGTGCCCACATCTCCTTCCTTCCCAGAAAAATGAGTGCAAACAGACCTCTGGAGCATCTTTCCTGGCAGAGCTGCCCTTTGGCATGGAGAACCATCCTGGCAGCTCCATTCTTGAAGGAGAGCTTGGTTTTACATGCCCTGCCCCACCACCTGCTGCAGGAGGACTGTAGATAACGGTGCTGTCCCCAGTGGGATCCCTGAAGACAGGGGCCTCGTTCTCAGCCAGGGATGATGAAATGCATGCACATCAGTTGCTGTCTCTAAAGCACTCCTGACTCTTTCTTTGGAGCACATGGCTTTCTCCTCTATTACAGAGGAAAACAAAGGAGAACGTGACAGGTGCTTCAAGTTCAGCAGACGACTTTTATACTTGTTACTTTTACAAGGAAGAGATTAACTTTTTAAGGCAGAGAAATTCAGTTTAATTCCCAAAGATTTGTGTAATGGCAAATGTCAAAATAAGTGGTTTCATTGCATTAAAATTCCAAGAAAATGTCCTCAATTGTCCCATGCCTAGTTTATTTGCTCAAGAGTGAAGTATAAAGGAAGAAAATCTCATTTTCATCTTTCTGGGTTTCACAGAATAATGTGTTGTAGAAAAAAGCCTGAACACTTGAAAATCACACTTCTTTCCCTAGCTTCTATTTTATCTTACCTATTTTTAAATCCTAGTCAGATAATATTTTATATTTCTATCCATCTCACACCTGTGCTTGTTACCTGATGCTAAAACAGGTAGCAAAGTCCATCAATGTTACCTTCCCCTTTCTTCCCGCCCACTGTGATGGTGGGCCACCTGTCACTGGCCTTAGACTCTCTGGAAATGGTGGGTCCTATTAGTTCTATCAGGCAGCCGAGGGTTGGGGTCAGTCACTTTTGGCCACTTCTGCTCATTTCTGCTGGAGCAATGCTTAATGCCATCTGTAACACCTAATGCCACCTGTAACACCTCTCAGAGAGCACAAAGCACTTCTTGCTGAGAAAACTGAAAAGAAATAGGATGCAAACACCACTCCATGAATGAGGTCTTCCTAAGGCCAGATTCCTAAGGCCCTCCCAGAATGGTTTGGGGTTTGTTGACTGCTTCCATTTTTTTTTTAACAGATCACATTGTTTTCCAATGATTCGTAGGAAAAATTCTACATAGGTCCTATTAGGAATTCTGGATTTTAAGAACTATGAGGGATCCTAGTGTTAGAAAACTGCTTTATTACTGACCAGGATGATTTCGTCTTTAATAATGCTATGTGCTCCACAAGCCTGAATAAAATTTGAGCATTTGCTCTCAGAAAAAGCATCTGGACATCTTTTGCCCTTGCTTCACATTCCTGAGCACAGGGCCATGTCAGCCTCACTGCCACTTAAGACAGCTGAATCAAGACTAGGGCTGAGGGACTGGGATTAAGTGAAACGGGACCTTTCGGGCATGTTGGTTGACTTTGGTTAATTCAGAGCAAGGTTTTACCATTGTTGCTCAGCCACAGAGAAGCCTGGAAGGCAATTTTCTCTTTCAGAGCCCTGACGGCCATCTCTGGTGATCTGGGTGTCAGAAGAAGTTTCCATAGATAAAGAATCTAACAGCATATAAAAAGGGTGAGAGGTTTTCCCTTGGTGTATTTTGAAGAATGAAGTATTTCCCATCAGGTGAGCAAAGAGCTGATAATGCAGAGGCATAAACAGGTGCTTGCCTCTGTTCTGGAAGGTTGCTCTTGGAACCTGCTCGCATGGAGAGCTGAAGGGTCTTAGATAAAACAACTGTACAGTCAATTACAAAAAGGCAAAACAAAACACAACACACAGAACACTTCTGAGATACTAAGGGTAATAATGTAACAGCAGCAATTGAATACCTGGAAAATGGATTGTATTAATGCAATTTTTCCACCAATTAGCTAAAACTCTATATCTAATATTTTTAAATTTTAGATATTAGTAAACACAGCATTTTTGGAATTAAACAGTTTATCTTAGTGAGGTTATGTTATTATTTATTTATTGTCTTATCTTTTCAACTTCCTTTATATTCAAAGTGTTTAAGAGATAGGCATGGTGTCACACTCCTGTGATCCCAGTGACTTGGGAGGCTGAGGCAGGAGGATTGCAAGTTCAAACCCAGCCTCAGCAACTTAGCAAGACCCTGTCTCTAAATAAAACTAATAAAAAATAAATAAAAGGCTTGGATGTAGCTCAGTGGTTAAGCACCCCTGGGTTCCATCCGGAGTACCAAAACAAAGCAAAACAAAAAAATTAAAAACAAAGAAGTGTTTAAGATGGCTACATTTAGTTATAAAGGCATTTTACTGTTTAAGACACAAGAAGTTCCAAATGCCACTTGGGACACCCTTAAGAGAAGCACGTGGGTTTGTAGGTACCTCATACATTCACAAATAAATTACTGTGCATATTTAAGGCAGAAAAATTCTAAGAAGCGCCATGCCTCTCATTGTAGAAATGCAATTAATCTGTGTAGTTATGCTTTTCAAATAGCTGACATTTAAAATAATGGATGAATATGTAATTTGCTAATCAGTACTGGGCAGTTCCCAAGGAGGTGTCATCATTAGTTTCATCATTTACTGTTTCAGAAGAGTTTCATGGTTGAACCTGGGAAGCAGGGAGAACCCACTCTGGGGTGACATTATCCCACCAATAGCACTTCACTGCGGCAGTGATCACGCCTTACAAATCAAGTCAATGTGTGGAATTCCTATTGGGTGAGTTACACACAGGACATTTATGTGAGTGGCTTCCCCCATACTGAATTCCTCATTCGTAACCACACACCCAAATGAACTTCAGAGCAACATATTGTACTTTAAGAATGAAATGGTGTTTTAGTTTATGCTTTTATTTTTTGCCTCTGTTCTCCAAGTGATAATAGAGATCTCATTGACCATGCATGAGCACTTACATTCCCTTTCTGAAAACATTTCTGATATTGTTGGTATAGGAAAGAAAAGTCATTTATTTGGAGGTTGCCTTATTAATCTACAGCTTTCGATAAGTATCTAGATTATCTGGTCAGTCAATTTGTCTCCAGAGCCTAAGAAAGAAGAACCACTAGCTGCCGTGTTCAATGCAAATGAGTTGGTATATGAATATTTATAAGGACATCAATATTCACAGTATCTTACAATCATGCTCCAAGCTAAATAAAAATAAAAGTAAACTTCCACAAATATTACAGTATAATAAGATAAGAGCTGAAAGATATGTACAAATTCATTGATAACATCTGTGCAATATTGTGGACAAAACATTTAAAAAGAAATTTACATAAAACAAGGTAGATAAATTTATCAAATGTTGATAAATTTTCAGAGACAGTATAAAAGTACACAAAACGTGGAAAAGAGAAAGAATTTTAAAGAATAGCCACTATGCCAATACATACAGTACATGTTTACTACATTTAAATTACAGAATGATGGAAACCAGAGACAAAAACGATTTGGTAACAAACAGCAAAGAAAGTTTCACCAGTCACAAAGAAGAAAGACATTCCTCTTAAGATGAAAACACAGAAGGCCAGAACTCATCCCCCACCCCATACACACAGAGAAAAATAAAAGCAAATGCAAGAGTTGTCTACAGCGACACACGACAGACAGAAGTGGGAAGCATTTGGCATGTTGCATCACAGGAAGTCAATCACGATTGGCTAACGATGATGGTACCTGGCTCTGTTGCAGGTCACTGGCTTGCCTGAGAGGAGGAGCCGAGGGCGGAGGCACACCTGATGTGGATGCAGATCGGCCTAACTTGCAGCTTACTTTAGGTTCTGCAAACAAGGAGGAAAGACAAAAGGTTAGCTGAGTAAGTCTGCAGAGTTGGGATGGCTTTCTGTCTCCCTTTTGGTTTTGCTAAGTGTTCTGGGAATATGCAGAAAGCCTCTGATGTTGGCTAATAATTGGCCGGTGACTAAACACCTTCATAACAATTGACTCGGAAAGGAACTTTATCTTCAGATCAGCTCTTGGGAGATAAGGAACAAATCTCTGGAAGCCCAGGCCTGATCTCTTGCACATTTTATCCCATTTAAGGTTAGTTTCTGTGGAGTGATTGCGTAGCAGCGATACCCATTACAGGGAAAGCAAGTAACCTGATTATTTCTGATGCTTCATCTTTAGCTTTGGTCCAGAGGACTCCTACATTCTAAAATGTTACCCATGCACTCCAAAGCCTGCCTGTCTCTTTCCTTCCTTCCTTCCTTCCCTCCCTCTCTCCCTCCTTCCTTCCTTCCTTCCTTCCTTCCTTCCTTCCTTCCTTCCTTCCTTCCTTCCTTCCTTTTCTTCCTCCCTTCCTTCCTCCCTTGACTTCCATGACTACATTCATCATATTTCCTATAATGAGTTAAAGTTTTTATTTAACATATTTCTATTTTGTTTACATTTTATAATGATCCTCTAAGAACTCCGTGATGTTTTGTGTGGCAGAATATGAAGTAGGAAGGATTCTGGATCCATGGATTTATTTTCCAACCTATCCAGAAATCAAACGTATTTCAGAATGCATTCATTTTATTGCATATATATGATTCTAAGCAAATAGTGATAGGTGGAATATTTTATCACCCAGAGTAATGGGGAAGAGTCGAGTTGATGGTAGATAAAAAGATGGAACAAAATGACTTGGAAAGTTCAGAGAAAACTACCCAGCATATACAAGAGGAACGTCGCTCCTCACCTCTACTAAACAGACTCACGTGTACACACACACATGTACTATACTTCTCTTCTCCTCCCCTTTCTCTCTATAACTCTCATCACTTCACCTCTCTCCTTTCATTGTCTCCTGCTTCACCTCCTTGTTCTGCACTTTCCCTTTAGAAGAGCACTCCTGTGGCTTCTGATCCAGTCTTTTCCTTCTCGAGTCGGGGAAAGACTCCGGTAGCTCTGTCCTCTCCCTGCGCTCTTGCTTGGTCTTGGATCTCAGTATTCTGTACAACAGGCGTTATACCCACATGCTAACCAGGAAAACCAAGATAAAGCTTCCTCTCAACGTCTGAATCCCCCTAGTGATTTACCCATGTTTAGCAGGAGTGCCACCTCCATTTTTCTGAACAAATCTTCTAATAGTTTTCTAATACTTATCATCAGTTTTCCTTTCCTTTCTCTGTAAAGTAAGTTCTGTTACAGTTTGTCTTTTTCTTTGCAATAGCTTCTGTATTTATCTCATGTCCCAGAAACCTCCTTGCTGGTTCCCAGGATCTCTCTGCTCACAAGTAACGAGGACACAATGCCACATTTCATAGATGACTTTCAGCACACCTACCTTGTTCAAAAATTGTTTCTATGACTCCATACTTAATATTGTAAGAAATTAAAAATCACCTAATTTTCACAAGTACCATCCACCCTCTTTTCCATAGCTACCTGCTCCCAAGAACACAGACATCCCGGGTCCCCTTGGGATCCACATTGATCTGCTTCTGCCCTTCACCTCAGGCTATTCTCATACACAGACGTTTATCAAGCCAGACCTCACAGGTGTCCAAAATCCACTTCAAGGTGCACTTCCTGTGTAAAGTGCACAGTGATCTTGTTTTTCTCTCTCTTATGAATTGCCTTAGCACATAACAGGGTTTAAACTACTTGATAAGGTTTTGAGCATTTTCGCTGGTAGGAACCAGATAGTAAGTGTCAATTATTATGCATTTTTCTGTCACCAAACATACCCAAATTTACCTTTTGATAAATGCTACTTCTAAAAGCAAATAGAGGAGATCAGGTAATAAAGAATATAAAACCTGGAAACCAGGCCTGGTTCCCCAGCTTATTAAGTTGGTGGCCCTCATTCAAGAGGATGTCACCCTCTAAGATCCATTTCAGAAAATCTTTCCTTAGTTTTGTTATGGTGATGAAATATCTGCCCACCCATTCCTCAAAATACCATTGAATTCCTGCTGCAGAGAGAATTAAATGGGTGTATCCTATGATGATATAGATAAAATATCACCATAACTTATAAATTATCCCCATTTAATAGAAGGCATAAATCCTTGCACACCTTAGGGCATCATCTTTTATTATATAAATAACAGGTGAACCATTCATCAGAAACCTGGTTGGTGAGTTTTCATAATGAGCCAATTTGTCCATGTATCCATTCCTGTGTTAACACACTCAGTCCCAAGAAGTGAAAAAATTCAATGTTTTTCTTAGGAAAGGATGACAAATATTTATTTACTATAAGGCTCTTTCCAAGTTTATGCTAAAGGTATGATCTGTACCTAAGGATAAACTGCTCCTGTGGAGGTTTCCTGACTTAATCAGACTCTTTCAAATGTGGATACTGATATCTCCAATGTGCAAACTGAGCCTCTCCAAAATCCAAGCAAAATTTTGATCTCCTCTTGACCTGTAAAGGCCTGTTTTGACTCTTCGGGTTCAGTCTGGGTTCTGTGAAGGTTCATCAAGCCCCACATAGGTCTGTAATAGAAACCAATAGCCACCAGTTACGTGTAGCAATGAAAACCCCTAGCTAGTCACCTGTAGGGCTAGCTCTGGAGTCAGGTCACCTGATAGTGGAATGTTCAAACCCATGCGGGCTATGACTCCACTTGCAGAGGGACACTGAAGTGATTCCCATCAATTATGCACAAATTATGCACAATCATGTACAAATTTGTATACAAACACATGCACTATAATGTTGATGCTTAAAGCTTTCGTGCAGTAGGGATATTTTAAAAATTTTTATCTCTCTCATTTTGGCTCTTCTGTCACTTTCAAATGTTGTAACATAAAGGCACTCGGAATTTATCATGGTATTTATGTGCCTGTGTTGATGACATGAATCTTTATGAAGTTGCTCTGACTGAGGTTTCTTTAACCAAATTAATTGTACATGACAGTCCTGGAAATCCTAAAGTAGATCCTACCTGTAATCAAGCCTCTTACAGATCTCTAGGCCTGTGATATTAAAGTTAAATTGTCCAACTCACTTCTTACCTTTGGTGATACAGTACTCACTCAGGCTTAAAGAGCAAGTATGACATCACCAAAATACTCTGTTTTCATCCTGATTTAAAAAAAAAAATGCCAAGGCTTTTTGCAGTTCAAAAACAAAAGCTCTATACCTAGAAAGAAATGTAAAATAGAGCTTTTCTACCCCCAAGAAACATTCATTCCACTAAGAGATTAATTTTGAAGTAGCAGACACCTGTTTTCATTGCAAAAGAAGAAATTTCCTTTGAAGACTCTATGGATAACATTTTAGAAGTGTGGGCTGTTGTTGCTTGTGCAATTTTCCTGAAGAGTAGACAGAGAACAAGAAGATGAAGTAGATTCAAAGGGAGATGAAGAGAGCGAGACAGGGAGGGAGGAAGAGGAAGGAAGGAAGACAAGGAGAGGGCTGGCGACTCACACTCTAACTTCCTTGGAGTAAACAATCATCAAGAGATGACCGACCGTGAGGTACTTCCAAATCAGTCCTGGCTCATTATTATTATTATTTTATTAAGTAAGGGGTCACTGGACTGTGTTTCTTATTACATCTTTCTTTTTACTCTTAGTGCATGCAACCTCCCATTGCTTTTCATTACTGTTTTTTAAGATCACCATTTCTCATCTTCCCCTTGATTATGTCCCTGGTCATCACTACAAGATGACCTCCAAGGTGTCACTGCTCTCCTTTGGGGTACCAGTGTTCTCTTTGCTCTCAGAAGGCAAAGGCACACGTGTGTGTTCTCGACAACTGGATCTCCACAGCTGTGAAGAGATTAGTGCATTTTCACAAAAGAAAAAAGAAAGAAGATATACTTTCTTCTATCACCAAAGGATCAAATCAGTCAAATTTTGATATCTTTTCTCTATATTGTTTTAAAACCATCCATATTTTTTGGTGTACAAGCAAAGACAGATAATGATGATCCACGAATTCAGACTTTCTGCTGAGTCTACTGAATGCTGTGGGGATTACCTGGGACTAAGAGAGCAACCTTTTCCCTGCTCCCCAAAATACCAAGTGTTCTTATACAAGCTCCAACTTCTGGGGAAGGCATTTTTTGAAATAATCCATATGTTATTTGAGATAAACTGGCACCTGAGAACAAGGGCCAGGCTTGCCATGATTACATTTAAACTTTCATGGGTTCCAAACACTTTGTTTCAAAGCTTTTACCACACATCATAGCAAAGAGAGTAAGATGCCCTCATGCCCCACAGTAAATGTAATTTTTCCTGTATACTTTGGATGGATTTTTATAATTTTGCTGTGTAATTATTGAACTGTAAAGAGCCCCCATAATGCACAACTGATATGATATCTACACAGTAATCATGCTCACATAGCAATTCTCTAAAGATTGAACAATCTAATCTACAGATAGTTTTCAAATGCAATGGCATTGTTTTGATACTCAATTTAACAATTAAATATCAATTTTGTACTGGTTTTTAAGTTTTCATTAATGTTAATGTAGCAGTTTCTTTTAGAACTTCTATGCAATTACACTTTTTTCAATGTTACATATTTTTATAGATTCCTGAGTAGGTGATAGGCCTGGGTATTGTAACTATGGTGATGAAAAGATAAAACTAATCTGATAATTACTGTGATCATTTCATGATCACTGAGAAAGGAAAGGAAACCATCAGGATGCAAGAATCTATCCTAGGAGTGCACATACATATATTAATTTTCTCTCTTTCTTTCTCTCTCTCTTCCACCCCCCTTCAGGATTCTCCAGTTTTCCTCCGAGGAAGCAGCAGACACTTGCATAACCTTGAATGTCTTCCAGTGTCTTCCAGACACTTCCATAACCTTGAAGGGTCTGAT